GAATGGACTCTAAAAGCTCATAAATGAGAAGACAACAAGGAGTCCGGTGGCACCTTAAAGACTAACGGATTTATTTGAGCATAAGCTTTCATTGGTAAAAATTCGACTTCTTCAGATACATGTTACTAACAGATTTATTTGAGCATAAGCTTTTGTGGGTAAAAATCCCACTTCTTCAGATGCAGAAGATGCATCTGAAGAAGTGAGATTTTTACCCACGAAAGCTTATGCTCAAATAAATCTGTTAGTCTTTAAGGTGCCACCAGACTCATTGTTGTTTATGTGGATACAGACTAACACGGCTACCCCTGATACATAAACGAGAAGGCCACACTCCTCACTCCAACATTTTTATTTTCAAATCGCATGATTTTTAAGCCTGTCTCAGGTCCCAGAATTTTGCCTCAATTTTTTTGACCTCTTGGAGTTGAAAATTGTGACTACCAAGGGTACAGTCTGGGCTATGTCCCCTCAATTATCCAATCTGGGAGCTTTTTACCTTGCTTTACTATGAGGGCAACCACTCCTGTGGTCTGCTCACACACAGCCTCTAGTTTGTAAATCACTCCCAGTTATACTATATGAATGCTATAGCCAGCCACTCATGATCACATTACAGGGCAACATCAGCAAACTCCCAGTCTCAGACTTTCCCCCAGAAATGTGCATCTTGTACTGCCCAGCACCCTCCTGTACGTTACAAGCCCATATAAAGTCTGTCATTTATTAATGGAAAATAATATGCACAAATCTGGTTTCCCAAACACTTCAGTCTAAACAACAAAACAAAATTATTATCTATGGAAAGATAGATTTTAAGTGCTTACATGTAATGAGGTAGGTATGTATGTCAGAATTGGTTACAAGGAGATAAAAGGTAAAACACAACTAACACCTAACTTAACAAGCTAAGTGAATACAAAGCAAAGGTCTCTCTCACTCACCACATATTCCAGTGGTCCTGCTGCCTGAACCTCTTTCGATCAGGATTTCCCCCCTCCTTCCCCAGTACAATGCTGCTTCTTTTGTTCTTCAGGTGTTGCAGCTGGGTAGACAGCAAGGAGGGAGAGATGATTCTCTTGTGCAAAAATCATCTCCAGGTGATGTTCAGGAGACAGAGTTTAATCTGCTGCTTTGACAAATTGTAGCTTTTTGCCCACCCTCTCTCTCCTGCCGAAGAATGGCCACTTAATTAGGTGATGGTCCATTTGATCTTGTTGACCCTGGCTGAGGGGTTGGCTAGCGTTTTGTTTCTGGGGGACTTGTTTGTTACTACCCTCCAGAATACATTGGAACACGTCTTGCTAACATTATTCAGTGGAATTTTATATCCTTACATACAAATGTTGCCACACATATTTTACCAGGATACTAATGATCAGCAAATCATGAGTTTTCATATATCTTACACAATATGCTTTGAATAGAATTTAACATAGTCTTGTAGAAAGGGTGAACAGAGGGGTACAGACTGTCATAGCAATATGGGGAAGTGAAATAAGATGTTTCACTGCCTGCTTTGAGTGTCTGCTCACATACCCAGTTCTTTCTTCGGCCGTAACGCCCCTTCTCTTCCTCTCAAATTGCATTTCTTACCAAGAATTTACCCTGATTTCATCTCCAGCTCAGTTTCTGATTGGCACATCTGACCCTGCTCTCCACACTCTCAGCTGCAACCCTGAGTGTGTCTCTGTCATGGACATCCAGTGTTCCACCACTCTCAAGTTGAGCATCCTTCACAGTCCTTTCTTGCTCCTTCCCTGGCAGATGTTCCATAAATACTAACTTGTATTAGTGATATTGACTGCCTTCCTCCCCCCCCCCATCTTCTAGTTATACCTCCTTAGTTTACAGACACCTGAAAATGTGATTTTTTTAAAATAAAAATGTTGAGCTAAAACTAGATAAATGTTAGTGCTACCAGTAAGACATTATGTAGCAAAATAACACGTCCACCATATTTATCTTCAAATTAGAGAGAGAGGAGCTAGCTTTTCTTCATATAAATGTGTGTGTAGAATATCTATAAATGTGTGTATTATATATATAAATGTATAAAGTATGCTGATGAGGAACTGTGAAAAGATGCCAAAAGTCTACAGTAACTGAACGCATGTATTTATTTTCATAAATTAAGAGGACTATTTTTTTTTTTTTTTAAATCCAAGGAATTACCTCTGAGATTACATTAAAACTCCACAGTAGATTGTGGATACTGGAAAATCGTTCAAACCTTTTTGGGTCATTATAGTAAATATTATATTAGAAATGAAAAAAATTGAAATGTCTTTTTATCCTTTGGAAAAATAATCCTAAAAGTTGTACCACTTAATTGTTGGCAAGTACTGTGAAATAAAGTATTTCGGAAATAAATATTGTACAGAAACCTTGTTACCACTCACAAAAGGTTAGTTACTATTTCAGAATTTTGAACATCTTCCAAATAAGCAAAGCCACGGCAAAATATATGTTCTATCTCCCTTTCAAGAAAATAAATAGGCAAACCATTTGAAGCTTCAGATAGCATAGAGTATATTAATCAAATATTGTTCTCATACAGCTATATTAAAATACCCCCCCCCACCATGAATCTTACCAAAAACAAAGTAATTTTAAAGTAAACCAATATAAATAAAGTTAGGGCTTTTATTGCATTGTTTAGACTATTGTGTTGCAGTATTTATTGTGTGTGTTCTAAGATGTCTGCAATATTCCAGAATAAGTGTGAATTAGGAGTGAAGTAAAAACCATAAATCTGCATTTCTAACACAACATGATGTTTAGTTTACCGCTAGAGGTCCCTTTCAAAATAAAACAAACACTTGGCTCAAGCCCCCCCCCCCCCTAAAACCCTATTGACACTTACAGTTCTAGGAAATTTAAACGAAAATGTTGGACTCCCTTAATGTTGTTCCATCTGGGGGCAGGTAGTGGGAGTGAGGAGTCCAGCTCAATGTGCAGCTGAGGCTACTTAACCAAGGTAGCATGCAGCCACCAGTCGTCTCTCACACTCTTAAAGTTACTGAAATAATCCTGTAGTAAAACTGTCAAGGTTTTGGGGCCTAGACCATGGATGAGAGTTCTCTCAACAGCCCTGTTAGCAAATACACATTGCAAGCATGTCAAAGCATAACCACTATCCCCATTCCACTGTAACAAAATGTACAGGAGACGTTAGGAAAACTCAGGAGTCGCATAGCAACCATGTGGTCTACTAAAATCACTACTGTATTGGGATTATTCCTAGCTCTGCCAGTGGCCTGCTAGGTGACCTTAGGCAAATGACTTCCCTTCTCTGTGCCTTAGTTTCCCGTCTTTAAAATGGGGATGATGAAGTAAAATACTTCAAGATGAAAAGCCCTGTATAAAAGCTGGGTCTTTTCATTATTACCTAGCCACAGTAGTATATCAGCTGCAAACCTAGGTGAGAAATAGAACTATCTAAATGACTATTAGCTCCTACCAACAAACATTTCTCTTTCTTTTTTAAAAAGCTAGGAAATTAAATGGCAAAAAACTTGGTTAATGCAGCGTTAAGGTTGCTGAGTGACAGCTCATGCCTTTCCAGAATATCAAATTCAGCAAAACTCAAACTTTTGAAAATTAGGAAATACAGAGTTAAGGTAACTCCTATGCAACCTTAATGCTGCCCTCTTTGAGCAATGTCCCATAGTGCCTATAACACACACATTCCCACTGTGCTTTTTCACTTTAATTGATGGACGGTAACTTCACTTACTGTACACAATCACAGTTCTTCTTAGGAGCTCCAACTTATTCCTCTCCCATCCAATACAGTTACACGTAAATGTGAATGTATCTGGACTATATGGAGACCATTCCCAGTGGCTACTGGAGGCTCTGGGGGGTTGTGTGGGCGTTTACCTTAATTCTGTATTTCCTGTTTTCAGAAGTTTTAGTTTTGCTGAATTTGACATTCTGGAAGGGCAGAAGCTATCACTGGACAACCTTAACTCTGCATTAACTAAGATTTATGTCATTTAATATATTTAGTTCCATAACCAATTTAAAATGCATTTCTATGAACAAAACATAAAGAAATTCCAAATAGAGTTAAAAAACTTTATAAGACTAACTTGAAGCAGGTGATAATTATGCTAATTAAACCTCTCAGCAGGTAACTGCCCTTCAGTTTTCTTCTCTTCTCCTATAGCCAGAGAAATTGGTTCCTGAAAGCCCCCTAGTTCTGTGGCTTATGTAGTAATATCTCCCTTACAATGGGATATTGTGATGCATAATTTGCTAATGTTTGTAAATCACTTTAGGTCCTTGACTTAAAAGTGATATAGAGTGTATTTTGTGTGTGGTTTCCTTTTATGTGCATTTTGTTTGTTACTGAAGAAGGAACAGACTTTGCAGGTCACACTATTAGCTGTTTTGGTTCTGCAATGTTAACGGGAGTGGAAAGCAACACAGAATAATTTTTGTCATAAATATTGGCAGGCATGATGGAATGCACCCAGGGTGTGGACCTGCTGATTAAGAATTTGCCATTTTTATTTAGTCACTTTCCAAAGCAAACCACATTTGCCATTAAGATTCTATTTTTGGAAAGGAAATTTAAGTATAAAACAGAATGTAAATGGGAACCTCAGGGGGTCAGCACTTTTGAAAATCATTTATTTTTAGATTTGATTTATAAATTGCTTCCCAAGAGTGTGGAAATCACTGTAAGTCACTGTCCTCTTTAATTTTAGGAATACAATGATTTACTTGAACATATCAGACCTTTACCCTCAAGGCTGTCACAATTACCATAGAATAAACAATATTTAAAGGGTGTTTTTGCAGATTAATTTAAAACAAGCCACATTATATAGTTGAGGGAGAATTTGCAGAATGTGCTTTGCATAGGAACCCTAATGCCTACGTAGAGCCTGGCCATCCATGTTCATTGACAGACTACTGAGAAATGTTGAAAGCTTACCTCCTTATTGCTTCTGCAGCAACTGATTCTAATTTGAACTTGTGTTTTATAGCTTGAGACAATTGGATGGCAGCTTAACCTTCAGATGGCTCAGTCCACCCAAGCTAAACTGAAATCTCCTCAAGCTGTATTAGAACTTGGAATGAGCAATGAAGATTCAAAGGTAGGAAAGCCACTGCCTGGCAGAGTGAATTTAGGAATTTTTGTAAGTATTATTATTTTAAGGTTCTAAGACTATAACTAGCTCTACTGATGGTCATTAATCTCACAGCAGTGTTTACATTTATTTTTTTAAAGGTAATTTAATTTAAGCAACTGGAATTAATAAAAAAATTGGCGTATTGTTATTTGCATTAAGTAGGTTTTGGGACTGAATGCCATATAAGCAGTTCTTTGTGCTATGGGGTATGGTTATTGTATATAATGTACCTCATGATTGATAATGCTTAGATATTTTGCATATGGTTTTCCACTGCCTTCTATTTTATACTTTGTCAAAGTAGGGCTGAGATTTTATCAAATCATTATGCATGTGTTCTAAGACCACTATACAGGTGTAAATGACAGTGGAGAGCCAGGGTCTTTACATTTTTAATCGTACAGCCTTATCTACCATGTGGTTTTTAGCCATTGGTTTAGCTACACTGAGACAGCCACTGATGTAAACATGCTGCACCAATGTAAACCTTGGGTTGTGTTGGTGGATCTTACTTCAGTTTGAAATGGACATGCTACGTCAATGGAAGCCACTTTTTACATTTATGTTGCATATTTTGCTACTGGTTTGAATTGATCCAATTGCATTGACTTATCCACAGTGGTGGGTAAACCTTAATATAGGCAAAGTCTGACTAATAGGGAAAGTAAATTTACAAAATCCCAAAGTAATACAAATAATGTTTTGTTTATGTTTGAATAGTAAGATCTACTGGTTTAGCATACTTTAGGATAGGATTATCTCACCTTGCCAGTGGAAAGTAACCTCTCCCCAACTTTTGTGGTCTCTACTTTAATCTGTGTCAGTGAAAAAGCAGATTTTAAAAAAAGGAGGAAAAATTTAATTCAAGGGACCTGATTCTGCTCTCAGACCTACATTAATCCACAATAACTCCACTAATTTAAGAACATAAGAATGGCCATACTGGGTCAGACCAAAGGTCCATCCAGCCCAGTATCCTGTCTACTGACAGTGACCAATGCCAGGTGCCCCAAAAGGAATGAACCTAACAGGTAATGATCTAGCGATCTCTCTCCTGCCATCCATCTCCACCCTCTGACAAACAGAGGCTAGGGACACCATTCCTTACCCATCCTGGCTAATAGCTATTAATGGACTTAACCTCCATGAATTTATCCACTTCTGTTTTAAACCCTGTTATAGTCCTAGCCTTCGCAACCTCCCCAGACAAGATGTTCCATGGGTTGACTGTGCGCCGAGTGAAGAAGAACTTCCTTTTATTTGTTTTAAACCTGCTACCCATTAATTTCATTTGGTGGCCCCTAGTTCTTATATTATGGGAACAAGTAAATAACTTTTCCTTATTCACTTTCTCCACACCACTCATGATTTTATATACCTCTATCATATCCCCCCTTAGTCTCCTTTTTTCCAAGCTGAAAAGTCCTAGCCTATTTAGTCTCTCCTCTCATGGGACCCGTTCCAAACCCCTAATCATTTTAGTTGCCCTTTTCTGAACCTTTTCTAATGCCAGTATATCTTTTTTGAGATGAGGGGACCACATCTGTACACAGTATTCAAGATGTGGGCGTACCATGGATTTATATGAGGGCAATAAGATATTCTCTGTCTTATTCTCTATCCCTTTTTTAATGATTCCTAACATCCTGTTTGCTTTTTTGACTGCCGCTGCACACTGCGTGGCTGTCTTCAGAGAACTGTCCACGGTGACTCCAAGATCTTTCTCCTGATTAGTTGTCGTTAAATTAGCCCCCATCATAATGTACGTATAGTTGGGGTTATTTTTTCCAATGTGCATTACTTTACATTTATTCACATTAAACTTCATTTGCCATTTTGTTGCCCAATCACTTAGTTTGGCGAGATCTTTTTGAAGTTCTTCACAGTCTGCTTTGGTCTTAACTATCTTGAGCAGTTTAGTATCATCTGCAAACTTTGCAACTTCACAGTTTACCCCACCCCTTTCTCCAGATCATTTAGGAGTAGGTCCTAGGACTGACCCTTGGGGAACGCAACTAGTTACCCCTCTCCATTCTGAAAATTTACCATTTATTCCTACCCTTTGTTCCCTGTCTTTTAACCAGTTCTCAATCCATGAAAGAATCTTCCCTCTTATCCCATGACAACTTAATTTACATAAGAGCTTTTGGTGAGGGACCTTGTCAAAGGCTTTCTGGAAATCTAAGTACACTATATCCACTGGATCCCCTTTGTCCACATATTTGTTGACCCCCTCAAAGAACTCTAATAGATTAGTAAGACATGATCTCCCTTTACAGAAACCATGTTGACTTTTGCGCAACAATTTATGTTCGTCTATGTGTCTGACAATTTTATACTTTACTATTGTTTCAACTAATTTGCCCCATTACTGATGTTAGACTTACCAGTCTGTAATTGCCAGGATCACCTCTAGAGCCCTTCTTAAATATTGGCGTTACCTTAGCTATCTTCCAGTCATTGGGTACAGTAGCTGATTTAAAGGACAGGTTACAAACTATAGTTAATAGTTCCACAATTTCACATTTGAGTTCTTTCAGAACTCTTGGGTGAATGCCATCTGGTCCCGGTGACTTGTTACTGTTAAGTTTCTCAATTAATTCCAAAACCTCCTCTAATGATACTTCAATCTGTGACAATTCCTCAGATTTGTCACCTACAAGAAACTGCTTAGGTTTGGGAATCTCCCTAACATCCTCAGCCATGAAGACTGAAGCAAAGAATTCATTTAGTTTCTCTGTGATGACTTTATTGTCTTTAAGTGCTCCTTTTGTATCTCGATTGTCCAGGGGCCCCACTGGTTATTTAGCAGGCTTCTGATGTACTTAAAAAACATTTTGTTATTACCTTTTGAGTTTTTGGCTCGCTGTTCTTCAAACTCCTTTTTGGCTTTTCTTATTACATTTTTACATTTAATTTGGCAGTTTATGCTCCTTCCTATTTACCTCACTAGGATTTGACTTCCACTTTTGAAAGATGCCTTTTTATCTCTCACTGCTTCTTTTACGTGGTTGCTAAGCCACGGTGGCTCTTTTTTAGTTCTTTTTACTGTGTTTTTTAATTTGGGATATACATTTAAATTGAGCCTCTATTATGGTGTCTTTGAAAAGTGTCCATGCAGCTTGCAGGAATCTTTCACTCTAGTCACTGTACCTTTTAATTTCTGTTTAACTAACTGCCTCATTTTTGCATAGTTCCCCTTTCTGAAATTAAAATGCCACAGTGTTGGGCTGTTGAAGTGTTCTTCCCACCACAGGAATGTTAAATGTTATTATATTATGGTCACTATTTCCAAGCAGTCCTGTTATAGTTATCTCTTGGACCAGATCCTGTGCTCCACTCAGGACTAGATAGAGAGTTGCCTCTCCCCTTGTGGGTTCCTAAACCAGCTGCTCCAAGAAGCAGTCATTTAAAGTATCGAGAAATTTTGTCCCTTCATTTCATCCTGAGGTGACCTGTATCCAGTCAATATGGGGATAATTGAAATCCCCCACTATTATTGAGTTCTTTATTTTGATGGCCTCTCTAATCTCCCTTAGCATTTTATCGTCACTATCACTGTCCTGGTCAGGTGGTCTATAATAGATCCCTACTGTTATTTTCTTATTAGAGCATGGAATTACTATCCATAGATATTCTATGGAACATGATTCATTTAAGATTTTTATTTCATTTGATTCTACATTTTCTTTCACATATAGTGCCACTCCACCCCTTCCCCCCCCAATGACCTGTTCTGTCCTTCCAATATATTTTGTACCCCGGAATGATTGAATAGAGTTACTCCTGACTGACACTGGAGTAAATAAGGAGACTTAGGCCCTTGGTCTTTTTGGTGCCTTAAACTGGTGTCTGTAACAGAGTTTTTTGTTGTTAGAAAAAACAGTAGATTGCCTGAGGGTGAATTTTAAAAATCTTAATACAGAAAACAGATAGCATTTTGTATACAAGTTGTAATGAGCAACATATGTAAAATGCAGCTACAAAAAATGACTAAAAGAAAACACTAGAAAAACATGCACATGCTGCTATAAAGGAATATTCCCTCTTAATAGTTTCTCTTCAAGTTTTGTTGTAGTTTTGATGATAAGAGTAAGTAACCCTTTTAAAAAAAAGTGAATTTATTAAGATTTTGTACATTATGGCAGAGAGACAAAATGGATCCTAATGCATCCAACCATGCCACCTTGAGTTGTGGTTTATCCTATATTAAAGTCACATGGGGTCAGGCTTGGTCATTACTTAGATGGGAGATCACTAAGAGAAACGCAGGTGCTGCAGGTACTTGTATTAGTGAATCAAGTGAAGATCTTTTTGAGGAGGTGCAGAACCAATGCATATGCTTTATTTTAGTGGAGCGCTGTACTGTTGGATATGCTGATTTTTGGTTGAGATGTAAAACCAGGATCATGTTTGTAGTTATTAAAGACCCCGTAGCCCTTATCACAAGAATAGGGTGATAAGGCTATGTCCTGGCCAAATTCAGACCTGCATAATTATATTCTTCTTGTTTAAACTCTTCCAGAAGAAACTGGATATTGTATGTATTCTTTTTCACTTTTTGTCCTAAAACGTTTTGTAGCTAATGTTATCAGCTGCAGGGTTGCTCCGGGCTGGGACCAAGGGGTTTGGAGGGTGGGAGGGGGATCAGGGCTGGGGTAAGGGGTTGGGGCACGGGAGGGTGTCAGGGGTGCAGGCTCTGAGCGGCGCTTACCTCAAGCAGCTCCTGGAAGTAGCAGCACGTCCCCCCTCTGGCTCTTATGTGGAGGCACGGCCAGGAATCTCTATGCATTGCCCCGTTTGCAGGTGCCGCCCCCGCAGCTCCCATTGGCTGCAGTTCCCAGCCAATGGGAGCTGTGGAGCTGGCACTTGGGGAGGGGACAGCATGCAGAGCCCCTGGCTGCCCCTACACGTAGGAGCCAGAGGACATGCCGCTGCTTCCAGGAGCCATGCAAAGCCACAGCAGCCAGGGAGCCTGCCTTAGCCCCGCTGTGCCGCCAACTGGA